CGAGGCTTGTCTGGAATCTCTACTCTGGTAGCTTTTCCCAGCAACACTGTTGGCTGAGCAGTGAATTCCCAGTGAGACAAAGGTGGAGACAATGTATCCACGGCTTCCACATGCCCTGTACGAATCTCTCTGCGCAGAATCCTGCCGGAATTTAGACCTGTCTTCTACATCCTGCCCTTATTGCCTTCTGTGAAGAAATAAGTTCTGCAGAGAATGAATCCATAGGGTTGAGTTGCAGGAATCCAAATCAAAATACAAGGATGCTCTGCCTCACACACAGAACTGTCCCCTCACACCTGTCTCTTTCAGGTATCATGATGGCTTTGAAAACTCAATCCTGCAAAGTCACTCCTGAAAGGTTCAGGCATGACACTGGCCTGCCCTGTTACCTGGCAGGATGCACTCAGGCAGCACTCTGGCCAGCCCAGGGTTCCATGAGAACCAGTCTGCATTCAGGTGCGAAGGACCCCTGGCCGCTTACGCTATCTCTCTCTCTCTCTCTCTCTCTCATCTCTTACTCTCTCTCCTCATCTCTCGTCTTCCTCGTACTCTCTCTCTTCTTCTCCCTTACCTTTCTCTCTCACGTCTGTCTCCTCCCTTTCAGTCTCGCTATAATAAACTATGGTTAGTATGCTCTCCATGGCTTGTGCTCCGTCCATCGCACCGGGTCCTGGTTCCATAATTAACAACAATTCCTTTGTCCCCAAGTCCACCACTGATGTCTGCAGGCCTCGTGGCAGGCACCACAGGTCTTTAAAGGTTTGTGATTTTAATGCAATCTTTACTGTTTTTACCTAGAGAATAGAAAAGTCAAAGAGAGAAGGACACTAAGTCCTCTGTGACTTGGAGGGGCGTTTGCAAGCACGTGACAGACAGCATGTGTGACAGTGCGGAGATCAGGGTTCACTAGACCCGGGATAACTGAAGTGAACTTTATTTGGGGAAAGAACTTAGACAGAAACAAGTGATTGTCATGGCACTCACGCCCCAGGCATGCAGACCCCGCAACCCCGGTGCCCTCCGTGAGCCGAAGACGGGGCCTCTGAGCCCCAATCTTTTCCTTTTAACCAGTCACGTCCACACCTGTGACCGCGGGCATGATCCCTGCTACAGGTGTGGAGATGGGTATCACTACATGGGTGAGCACGCGTCTGTGCTCAGGTGCACGTGTGTGTGAACACGTGTGTGTACGTGAATGTGGGAGCCAGATAGCAGCTTCAGGTGTCATCACTCAGAAGGCGTTCACCTCGGTGTTGTTGTTGTATGCGGAGATTTAGTTATTGGCATTGTGTGTGTGTGTGTGTGTGTGTGTGTGTGCTCTGCAGGCAGGTGTGTCTGTGTAGTACACATGTGCACCGCCTACAGAGGCCAAAAAGGCATCAGAGAGCCTGGAACTGCAGTTACAGATGGCTATGTGCAGTCACTGGGTGCTTGGGTTCAAACCCGGGCCACCTGGAAGAGCAACTAGCACTCTTTACTGCAGATCCATCCCGTTTGGGGTTTTGCTTTTGTTTGTGTTTGTTTGAGACAGGGCCTTTCACTGGGACCCCGGGGCTTGCTAATTAGGTCAGGCTGGCCCGCACACCCCAGGGGTCTGCCTTACTCTGGCTCACCAGCAGATTACAAGCACATATGTATTCTGCCATGGGTGGCTCTCCTGGAGCATTTGAGGGGCCAACCGTTGGCAAATGAGGGTAGAGAAAGAAAGCCACTGGGGAGAGTGCTTGGGTTGAAATTCCTGGCCCGAGGCAAGGGAGAAGAGAACATTTTTAGAGCCTGGCTTGATGCTAGAGAGTGCACTTGGGAAATAGGAAACCGAGACAGCACTAATAACACAGCCCATTTGTTTCCCCTCAAACCATTCCTAAGCTTAATTAAAGGTGCAGTCTTGATGGAGGGTTGAATTGCTACTTCCCCGCTGAAGGTGGTGCATCTGGGATGGGAATAGGGGGAGGGCTGGGAACGGCCATATCCCTAGGGAGGTTTGTGCAGCCTGTTGATTCCAGACAGCCTGATCAAACGAAGACAAAGACTTGTTTCTGCCCTTGGAAGTGTGGACCATTGTTGTACTCCTTGGATGATGCCCAGTTCTGCTCCCCACTGCTGTTTTTTTCTTTCCTAATATAGACGTTTCTTGTGTGCTTTTGAAAGCTGTGTTTTCACTTGTTTTATCACGTGAAAACTCATGTTGTGCTCAGACTAGGAAGTTTAGTAAGCACTTCATTTTGAAATTTCCAGTTGACTTCTTCAGTCCCCTTGCATTAGATGACATCAAATAGATTGTCCTGTGTCTTCTGTGAGTCATAACTCTCTGAATAAGAAAAGGGCTGGTTCGTGGATGAAGCATTGGCTTCACCAGACGAGAACTTGAGTTCAGGTCCCCAGATCCCAATAAAGATAGCACAGCAGTGTGTACCTGTGATCTAGACACACACAGCAGTGTGCACCTGTGATCCAGACACACACACGTGTGCACCTGTGATCCAGACACACAGCAGTGTGCACCTGTGATCCAGACACACAGCAGTGTGCCCCTGTGATCCAGACACACACACGTGTGCACCTGTGATCTAGACACACACAGCAGTGTGCACCTGTGATCCAGACACACACACGTGTGCACCTGTGATCCAGACACACAGTAGTGTGCACCTGTGATCCAGACACACAGTAGTGTGCACCTGTGATCCAGACACACAGCAGTGTGCACCTGCGATCCAGACACACACAGCAGTGTGCACCTGTGATCCAGACACACACACGTGTGCACCTGTGATCCAGACACACAGTAGTGTGCACCTGTGATCCAGACACACAGCAGTGTGCACCTGTGATCCAGACACACACAGCAGTGTGCACCTGTGATCCAGACACACAGCAGTGTGCACCTGTGATCCAGACACACAGCAGTGTGCACCTGTGATCCAGACACACACAGTAGTGTGCACCTGTGATCCAGACACACAGCAGTGTGCACCTGTGATCCAGACACACAGCAGTGTGCACCTGTGATCCAGACACACAGCAGTGTGCACCTGTGATCCAGACACACAGTAGTGTGCACCTGTGATCCAGACACACAGCAGTGTGCACCTGTGATCCAGACACACACAGCAGTGTGCACCTGTGATCCAGACACACAGCAGTGTGCACCTGTGATCCAGACACACACAGCAGTGTGCACCTGTGATCCAGACACACAGCAGTGTGCACCTGTGATCCAGACACACAGCAGTGTGCACCTGTGATCCAGACACACAGTAGTGTGCACCTGTGATCCAGACACACAGCAGTGTGCACCTGTGATCCAGACACACACAGCAGTGTGCACCTGTGATCCAGACACACAGTAGTGTGCACCTGTGATCCAGACACACACAGTAGTGTGCACCTGTGATCCAGACACACAGCAGTGTGCACCTGTGATCCAGACACACAGTAGTGTGCACCTGCGATCCAGACACACACAGCAGTGTGCACCTGTGATCCAGACACACAGTAGTGTGCACCTGTGATCCAGACACACACACGTGTGCACCTGTGATCCAGACACACAGCAGTGTGCACCTGTGATCCAGACACACACAGTAGTGTGCACCTGTGATCCAGACACACACAGTAGTGTGCACCTGCGATCCAGACACACACAGCAGTGTGCACCTGTGATCCAGACACACAGTAGTGTGCACCTGTGATCCAGACACACACACGTGTGCACCTGTGATCCAGACACACAGCAGTGTGCACCTGCGATCCAGACATACACAGTAGTGTGCACCTGTGATCCAGACACACAGTAGTGTGCACCTGTGATCCAGACACACAGTAGTGTGCACCTGTGATCCAGACACACACGTGTGCACCTGTGATCCAGACACACAGTAGTGTGCACCTGTGATCCAGACACACACACGTGTGCACCTGTGATCCAGACACACAGTAGTGTGCACCTGTGATCCAGACACACACACGTGTGCACCTGTGATCCAGACACACAGTAGTGTGCACCTGTGATCCAGACACACACAGTAGTGTGCACCTGTGATCCAGACACACACAGTAGTGTGCACCTGTGATCCAGACACACAGCAGTGTGCACCTGTGATCCAGACACACACAGCAGTGTGCACCTGTGATCCAGACACACAGCAGTGTGCACCTGTGATCCAGACACACAGCAGTGTGCACCTGTGATCCAGACACACACACGTGTGCACCTGTGATCCAGACACACAGTAGTGTGCACCTGTGATCCAGACACACACAGTACTGTGCACAGACAGTAGTGTGCACACACAGTAGTGTGTAATCCAGCACACCAGTGTTGAGATGGGACACTGAGATTGGAGAACCCTAAAAGTCCACTGGGCAGTTAGGCTGGTGTATGCAGTAGTAAACAGAAGGGCATGTTCAAAAAAGGTAGAAGATGTCCTCTGACCTCTACACATTATGTACACACAGCACGCACAAACACACACACACAATTATAGTAAAAATGTCAAAGAAATCCTAGACACCAAGCATCAGCTTCCAACCCCCACATAATGAACACACGTATGTATGCACATACCCATGCATACACACACGTATGTATGCGCACACCTGCATGTACTTGTACACCCTCACATACAACATACACACAGAAAATAAACAGGAAATCTTTCCCCCTGTTGTTTATAACTATATATTTTATTTTGGTTAGAAAACCTAAACCAGAAAACCACAAGTAAATTTCAATTATCTTTTCATAACTTGCTTTATATATTGAGAAAATGTTGCCCAATTTTCCTAACCGCAGTGACTGAATATTTTCTTCCTACTGCCCTTCCCCATCTGGCCAGAGATCTGAATCAAAAGACTGTAAGGATCTAGTTATAAACACGGCCGCTTTAGATCCTGTTTCATTGTAGACACAGCTGAGCGGCACACGCCGGCTGAATGCGGGACTCAAATCACTTATGTGTCTCATGTTGCAAACCTGTCTGCCCTGGTTTCCCCAGTTTGATGCTGACCGAGACGAGGACGCCGTGTTCTATGACATCAGCGTGGCGGTCGACAACAAGTTATTTGCAAACAAAGAGGCTGCAACAGGTGAGTCCCCATGCCCTTTGGCGTCAGAACATCAGGATCAACTCTTAAATGACCCAGGCGTTTCACCCCTGGCGCGAAGCTCCACTTGCTGCTATGGGACATAAAGGGGTGCCCTATTCTCAGCCTCATTCTTTCTGACTCAAAAATAAAGGATAAAAAAAAAGCTAAATGGAATAGAAAGGCTGAAAACTTCTCCCTGAGAAATTGCTGAGGTTTTTCTTGCCATAGCACATATAAATCCTTGGCCATCATGATGTAACATAACACCTATATCTCCACAGGAGAAAAAAATCTAGCCTATACCATATTTTGTGCAACTATAGAAGGTTATAGAGCTCAGGGTCCCCTCTGTCTCACGTAGCTCTGCCTTGTTCTATCTGGAGAAACACCTCCTTCCCTCTGGTAGCTATACCCATCCCAATCCCACCCCATGGCTCCAGGGTCACCTGTAGCAGACTCTCTCAGACTGCCCACCCCCAAATCATGACATAAGAGACTTATTATTAGTGATGAATGCTTGGCCTCATCTTATGTTTGTCCATCTGGCTCTTACATGAAGCAGGGAGTTTGAAGGATTGTCCTGCCTTGTCTTGCCAAAGTTCAGTAGTCTTTTTCCTTTTTGTCCTGCTTGTCTATAGTCTGTACAGCATATAGTCAGCAGTCAAGGCTGGGCAGTTTCTTGCCCAAATGGCTAGCTTTGCCACACTGAAAACAAATTCCACATGAATATCCTTCTAGGTCCATCATCCTTTTATGAAGTAGATTGGTGCTGCCAGGAACAGACATGTCTCACTGTCATGAAAAACCTTTGGTTATTAGACTTCTTAAATGCCATATTCTGTAGGTCTTTGAAGGGTTTGAAGATCACTATCTAAAATATATCTGTTTAATCTTGAAAACATACCTAATATGACTACAAGTTTGATTATTGTAGATGGCTAACTACTAACCTGTATTTCTTAATTATACATTGCATTTTTAAATGAGCTGCGTAAGAACAATACTCCAAACAATAAAAACATAAACAATATCACAAAAATAACTTTAAATTTGCAACAATATATAAAATCCATACAATATAAAATATTTTAGATGAATACTTGTCTTTTTTTCCTATATTCCTACTAAAAGATGACAAGCATCCATAATCCACCAAATGACCAAAACCCAGCAACCTTACCTCTTGGGAATGTAGGTGTTGTGTTCTCTAAACTGTTTCTTGTTGTCTGGGGGTAATGGCATTCCAGGGGACTATGAGAAAATTGAGACAATGGTCAAGTCCTAGGAAAACTAGCTGTAACATGTGTTATCCAGTCTCAGAATTGTTCCCATGCAGAGGGGTCAGTATATACATCATCTGTCTCGTAGTTTTTCCTGGTTTATTTCTTTATGTCTTTAGCCAAGATTTTCAGGAGGTCTCCCCCGATCGAACCTAATGTCTATTAACCTTGAAGGAATCCACAGTCTTTCATCTTCTGTGGAAACAGAAACATAACCTCTTCCCCAGCACAATGCATTTTCTGAATTCCATTTTAAAGTGAAGGCATCATAAAGGATCTAGGCTGGTTTAATTCAACAGTCCCTTATACAATCCACTGTCTCACAACAGCTGTCATTCACTCATCAGCATCCAAAAAATTCAAAAGTCTGCACAACACCATACAGGATCCAGACTCCCTGTGTATTTCCCATATTTACCTAGCTTATTCTTCTCATATTACTTTATATTACTTATTACTTTTACATTACTTTATACTCTCTTTAAAGACTCTATTATTTATAAACTATTTACTTTTTCTATGACTGTCTATACCCATTCTCTTCTCTTAAGTCTATGCACATTTTTAAGCACACCGTAACCTGTTTTTTTTTTCTGTCTGGACCTGTCTTTACTGCCTACCTGTAACCCTTTCTGACCACATTAGCCAAATTTTAAACTGCTAAACAGCAGCAAGACCCTCCACCTTGGCTCTGGTGGCTAGCTCCACTCTGTCCTCAGGTCTGCGGGAGCTGAGCCTTAAGTCCATGGGCCTGGCCAAGAGCTGTGTTTAACTGGGCTGCGCTTAACCACCCTAGATCTAAGCGGTGGGTGCCCACACCTTGGCAGACATTTTTACTTAGTTTGCTATCTCTGTTTAACCAGCTGGCTGCTCAATGCTCATTGTATGACAGGGCCTCTTAACAGGGTCATATGTGTTATTTGTTTGTTTGTGTTGTGCTGTTTTTTTCTGTTTGTTTTGTTTTTCGTCTTTCTCAGGCCCTACGTGGAAATGCGGGCCCCACACTGGGGACCCGAATTTCATCTATGCCACCCCATGGCTCCAGGGTCACTGTTCTTCTGTTCTAAGCCCTCACCCCTGGGTCTGTGTCATGGGAAATATACCCAGATATAGGTATACTCTGCTATATATGCTACTTCATCTGTCTGTTGCTCCCCCCCTCTAGACTCATCATTTTATATGAATCACCCTCAATTTTTAAACTTTATAACCTAGAATTTTTGGATTTTATTTTATGAGGTCACAACGCGAAAGAATTGAGAGCGAGACAATTGGGTTTAAAAATAAAGGTTTGGGAGCTGAGAGCGTAGTACCATGGTATGGCACTTGTCTAGTGAGTACACGGCCGTAGGCTAAATTCTCCGCACCACACAGATGGAAACACAGATGATAGATGACAGGGAGATAGATATATAACAGAGGATAGATATATAGCAGATAGAGGTGAGAGATGGCTATAGATGATAAATATATAGACGGTTGATGCAGACAGACGATTGACTGGTTGGTTGATGTTGTATTGTGCATGTACATCCTATATTCAAATAAGTCAGCTGCTCTGAAAACAGCAGATTCTAGCTTTTCTTTGAGCCCCTGAAGACAAATAATAATGATGATAATAATGATGATGAAGGAGGAGAAGAAGAACAAGAACAAGGAGAAGGAGAAGGAGGAGGAGGAGGAGGAGGAGGAGGAGGAGGAGGAGAAGAAGAAGAAGAAGAAGAAGAAGAAGAAGAAGAAGAAGAAGAAGAAGAAGAAGAAGAAGAAGAAGAAGAAGAAGAAGAAGATGATGATGATCTTGGCTCTGACTCTAATGGTCCAGAAGGAAGCCAGCTGGCATTTCTTCATGGGCGTCCACTTTCTTCTCTGCTTCCACAGTATTGGTGGCTTTGTCAGCTCCCATTTTGGGGCTCTCCTGGCTGTCAGAAACCCTGCTTTGAGGGAATCCTCAGATAATGCCACTCTAGCCATACGTCCTCCCGGATAATCAACAAAATAAAGCCTCCGGCTCTTCTGCAGGCTGGGTACCAATGCCTTTCTTATATCCAAACACCCAGAATCCCTAGCTGTCCCGTGTCCAGGGAAGCATCGCCTCCGCCCGTCACCCATGCCACCCCTGCCTTAGCTCCTTCCGCTGGCCTTCGCGCCTGCTCTTCTAGTCCCCGTGACCGCCCGTCTCTGTCTGCTTGTTTCCACTGTGTCTGCTACTCCACGGCCTCATCCAGCGCGTGGACTGGTTCCTCCTTTGTGTTTCTATTCAAGAGTGATATCTTCACGACTCTGTGAGGATGTGTATCTCTGCGTGTGTGCACGTGTGCGTGCGTGTGTGTGTGTGTGTGTGTGTGTGCGCGCGCGCACACGCATATGCAAGTGCCCAAGGGAGATGGCACATAAAGCCTTTCTCTTCTATCTGGCCACCTCAGCCAAGCCGCTGGTCCAAGCTCACACCTCACAGGTACACCAAATACAGCTTAATCCCAGTATATATACGGGGCTCCTTTGCCTCTTCATCTAGGCTGCAGGCCCGTGACCTCTACACCCTAACCCTCGTGTCCCTCCTCTGTGGAGCCCATTGGTACCTCCATCAGAGCCATCTCTACCTAATCTATGTGCGGGTGTGTCTCTCTGCGCTTGTATTTCCTTGTTTAGGAAGAGGAGACGAGAGTACCTGCCTCACAGGGACACTGGAGCCAAGTGGCGAGCTTGTGGGCAAAGGTGTCTCTGTCCCAGCGGAAAGGCTGCATGTGACCTTGTCTTTGCAGAGGACTTGAAGGCTCACAGGCATAGACCATGTCCTAGACAACACATTTTGCCCCCTCCCCCAGATTCATCTCTGCTGTCTTTTCCCTCCTTCTTGCCCTCTCCTCATCCCTAAGCTGGAATCACTCAAGAGCCAGCCCTGCCCCCCTCAGGGACTTGCCTTGTCCCAGATGAACACAGCGCTATTCCTTAAGGGTGTCCTGCGCAGAGTGCCCTAAGAGTGGGATTCTCAAGTGTGGCAAGCACTCCCATGCCTAAGAGTAGGATTCTCAACTTAGCTGTGGGCAGAAGCCGGCAGAGAGCTCCGGAAGCAGCATCCTCTGTCGTGGGGAAATGCAGAGGTCCTTTGTTCATCTTCGGTCCTGTGGTGCCTGTGAACAGAGTGCCTTTACTTTCTAAACTGGGTTTTGATATTCCCTGATGGTTTAAGGGATACAGAAACAGGAGACATTGCCTCCCTTAAGGAGACAGGCAGAGCGGCCGAAGAGTCTCATTGGCTGCTGTTCTCAAGGAGCCGCAGTGCAGGAGGGTCTCTTTGGCAGGCCAGTGGCAGGAATGTCTTCCTGCAACTTTAGGTTGACACCGACTACGCTGTCACAGAGACCTGTGTGGTCTGGTTCGCCTCTGCTGATGCCTCTTTAAAGACTTTTGTCTCTGGTTCCCACTTACATTAAAGACAACCTGGAGGTAATGTTTTTGAAGACCACATGACGTGAAAACAAATGATAATGAGTGTTCTGGATGGGAAGCCATTTCAGATCAGACCTCTCTTATATAAAAGAGGATTTCTTTAAATCTGAAAAGAAATTGAAAAAAATCAAAATGGGGAAAAACGAAAGCCATACCACCACCCTTTCCAAATGTCTGGGTTCTGTGGTCATTTCTGAGGAAGAAAACCAGGTCTGGTGTTCTGTGTGCCTGGGTCTTGGAGTAAAGACAGCCCGAATGCGACCATCAGTATTTATCTCCCCAGCTAACTTGCTGAGTCCTGGGCTATTCGTAAAGTCCCCATTTCCAGGAAACTGAGAAACCAGTGTTTTTAAAAACTGCAAGCCACTCAGTCATTATCCAAGCTGATAATGGTACCCTTTGTCTATCGCCTGAGATATATTAATACTACGGTTGCCATGGGCAACAGTTGTCGAGAATTGTCATCCCTTAGTGATACAAAGATTTCTGTCAAAGCCTTTGATTAGGTAGGCGATCCATCTCCTCCTCCTCCTCCTCCTCTTCCTCCTCCCAAGAGGGAAGTTCATTTTAATCAAAAGTCTTTTCATTTCTGATGTCACTGAAAAGTATTTTCTAGTGAATTTGCTAGCACGTAGTCCCTACTTGGTGGGTTGTTTAAGGGCCCTTCAGATTGTACTTCTTGAAAACAATCGGAAGAATGGCTTCCTTTTAACAAAACAAGTAGGACAAGGGACTCCTTGCTGCTGTGTGTGTGTTCACTAAGACTCTGTGTTCAAACCCTGTGAACTCTATAGTAAGCAAAGGACAGAGGTTAGGGAAACACGGCCACCCACACACCTTCCCCTGCTTGGCTAGTCAGGAAGACAATATCTACACTGGAGGCTGAGGAGAACTGAATACATTTTTTGTTGCTGTCTACAAAAGCCACCCGGGAAGGCAACTTGATTGTCCCCGGCCTGAGCCATTATTCCACCTCCGAATGTTTGCCTAGCCCCTGCAACGTGCTCCATCCAAATGCTTTAGCCGCCTCTCCCTGTCTCAGAATGCTGCAGGGCAACCACGCCCTCCAGGTCCTCGCCTGTCCCGAAAGGCAGTTTTGGCAGAGCCCGTGGGGTCACTCTGCTTAGGGTGTTGTCAGCAGGGTGCGTGAGGAAAGAAAGAGAAATGGGAGCTTCGAGTGCTGTCCTTGCTGCCACACAGTAACACCCGCCCCAAGCGGAGGTCAGCCCAGGATCCACAGTCAAACAGTCCTAGAAAAATAGAAGAGACTATTAAGACCACGAAAGATGGCCTCACGGCGAGTACTCTGTCAGTTTGGCCGAGAGGAGGGTCAGCCATGATTACAGAGGAGTAGTAACATATGGTGGTGGCACACTGAGATTCTATTGGAGCCTGAGGCTGTGGCTTCGCAAGTTCAAAGCCGGCCCAAGGTAAAGAGTGAGGCCTGCATGAAGGAGGGGAAGGAACGGGAGGGGCGAGGGGGGGGGAGAGTTAAACCCTGGATGAGAGCCCACCTTGACTCTGGTATTCAAAGGACTATGAAGCAATGCTTACGGGGTGCCTGTTTCTGAGAAGTGTAGGAAGCATTTCCTGTTATTTGAGAAATCTATGAAGCATTTCCTGTTATTTGAACATACACTTCACTAAACTTTCATATTCTGGCATGGGGTGACTTGTTGAAGCCCAGTTTACAGTAACATGTGAGGCGGTTTGCTATTTCACCGAATAAACCTTTTGCGGGCAGCACTGTCCTGGCCAGAGAGGCGTGTGCTCTTGGGCCCGTCTCCCCGTAGAAAAGAGTTGCTAAGTGAGAGCAGCGAGTCAACCGCACTGTGAGAAGCCACGGTGGACATTAATGGTTTGAGTGAGCCTGGGGGAATTAATGGCAAAGGGTGTAACGCCACCATCACATCGATACAAACTGCCAGCCACGTGCTACCAGGAAGAGGCAGCCTTCTCCATTAGTAAACCTGAGTTTCCTCGCCTTTGGGGAATATGGTGGTTAGTTTCAACTGCCAACTTGACGCAATCTAGAGCCGTGGAAGAGAGAGTCCCAGCTGAGGAACTGCGGAGGATCTGCCTGGCCGGTGGGCATGTCTGTGTGAACCTGAGGTGGGATCACCCACCCTGAGTGTGAGCAGCAGCATTTCCTGAGCCGGGCCCTGGACTGCGTGGGGTAGAGGAAGCTGACTCAGTGGCCAGAGTACAGCGATGTGTTCATCTTTCCGCTTTTGACTGTGGGTGTAAATGCCTGGGTGCCTGAGCTCTTGACTTCCCCTCAGTTGTGGAGCGGAGCCTGGGAGTGAATGCCGAGCAATCCCTTTCCTCCCTGTATCTCCTTCTGTGAGGGCATTTGCCAGAGCAAATGGAGTGGAGCTAGGACAGAGGTTGAGGTGACCCGAGGGCTTCCTGAGGCGGCCGTCACGGTTTAGAATGGGGACATCCCTTCCCAAACGCCCGGCTGTCCTCTGCTCTGTGTCTCGCTTCTCAGAAGCCATCTCTCCTAAACGCTCATGCCCCCTCCCCAACTGCAAGCTCGTGGAGCTGAAGAATCTCAGCTCCTCTGTCACCTTCACTGGTGGCCAGATTCAGTGCCCTCACTTGCTGGCTTCTGAGTCTCGCGTTGACAAATGAGTCTCCCCCGGAGCTTGTTCTTCTGAAGGCTGGGACAGGGTCCAGATGTCTGTGTCCTCTGCCACCAGCCCAGACACAGAGCGCGGCAGAGGGCGTGTTGTGCAAACCTGTGTTCCGCTAATGGAACACCAGGACAGTGTGGCGACCTGGTGGGAGATGTCTTGCTTTGGGAACACACACGGGCAGTCGCCACCAGCTCACCGTGTCTTTCTTAAACCTAGATTCAGGTGACCTTGACCCTTTGATGTTTGATGCTGGAGAGATCGTGGATACAGGATCAGACTATGATGACCAGGTAACTGAACCTCAAAGCATTTTCCTATTTCAATATGTTTCATTTTCGTCTCCGCGGTTTGTGAATATGAAAGCCAAAATTTTGGCTTTGTGAGACCTTGACAGATCCCTGATAACGCACTTAGTGTTAAGCCGTGGTGTCCTGCAGACTTACTTCCCTGAGCTTTGCTCTCCCCTCCCCTCCCTTCAGACCCAAAGCACTTCACTAAGGTAGGGACTTACGGCCAAAAAGTCCTTGAGCTAAAAGTAAGTTCCTTTCACCCGAGAATTTGCCTATGTCTCTGTGGCGGTTAGTTTTGTCTAATTAATAAATGCTGAGGGTATGAGTGCTTTATACCTTTGGGCAAAGGGATCAATCAATAGTAAGATCCAAATAGGGGAAACACTGTTCCACAGTCTGGGGTCCCAGACTGAATAAAAAGAGAGAAAGCCACAGAGCAACAGCCTCTCTCTCCTCTTCTCTCCCTCCCTCTCCTTCCCCTCTCTCCTTCCCCTCCCTCCCTCCCTGCTCTGTCTGTTTTACTAACCCACCAAGACTCAAGGGAGCATCCCTATGCCACCGTCACCACACCCTGAGATCTTTCCCTCTGCCGTGCCTCTCCTCTGTGACAGATTGCACAGTCTCAGACCCTGGGTCAGAATAAGCATCCCCTCCATCAGTTACTTCTCAGAGAGAAAGGGAACAAATGCACTGCACCTTCCCGGTGAGACACCAGGACTGCGGCTGAGCATGGGCTGTGGCCTCAGAGATTCGGGACTCTCTGCCTAACTGTTGCAGGGAACGACGCCCCAGGGAACATGGCGGAGGAGCTGGGTGTGTGTTGCCTTTGAATAGAACGGGAGGAATTTATCTGGGTCATTTTCCTCTCAGCAAGAACTTTCTCTACTGCGATACTTTAATGATCCAAAATAGTTGGCAAATGATCTAACTCCCTAATTAGGCTTCAGGGATTTTTTTTTTTTTTTTTGAGATAATGTCTTAGACTCAGTGCGCACTCGTGTCAGCGCTTCTCAGAAGTGGTGTAGAGCCAGGTGTGTTCTAGTGATGGTTTCTGCTCCCACTTCCAACTAATTTATGTCCCAAGTGAAGCAAATGTATCTGGCTGTGCGCGTGTACTCTGCGTGCATGTGTGTGTGTGTGTGTGTGTGTGTGCGTGCGTGCTGTGAGCATTCATGCACACGAGTATATGTATATATGTGTGCATTCATAAATTAAGTTCCTTCCATCACAAAACATGAAAATGTTAACAAGCGTATAAACACGTAATGGTTGCCCTGTGTTTAGAGTACCTGGTTCTCGCTGCTAAGCATTTGCTACATGGAGAGCCGAGCTGTTGGGCCTGGGTTGACTATTGCGCTGCCTCTCCACAGCATCTCCACAGGCAGAATTATGATTTCTACCTCACAGATAAGAAAATGAAGAAACAAAGAGTCATTTGCTCAAGGTCACACAACGGAGATGTGGAACATAGGATGTCGTTTCTTGCTTCTAGTATTTTATTGGCATATGTTAAATTATAAATACTAGTGGGTTTCGTTATGCTGTTTGCATACATGGACATAATGAATCTTGGTCATATCCACCCATTACCCTCTCATGGCCTCCTCCCACATCTGTTGACTCCCCAAATAATTAGTCTCTCTTTTACTTGGAGTGTCTCCTCACTTTGGTGACCCAGCGGGCTTCGTTTTGGTTGTCTACAGAAGCGTGGGTCGGGGGTTATTTAGAAGAATATTTACACTTACCAGTGGCTACAACATTGGAGAAAGTGTCTCACCCCCAGCAACCATTAACCGCCTGCACATCCTGGGGAAGGAGGAGGGCCTTATGAACTTTCTCCAGCCCAATCTTTTGCAAGCAATCATGGCTACCGAGTGCAGGAGTACCGTGGCCATGTCGTGCAGGAAGATGGTGTTCTGCATGTCCTCCTCCTCACCCTTGCATTCTTTCTGTCCTATCATTCATGATGTTCCCTGGGCCATATGGGTGGGCGTGGTTTACAGGTGCCTAATTGTAGCACACATTTTCTAAGACCCCCAGCCAGTGCATTATCTCCCATCCTACCCTGGGAAGACAAGCCAGGGGATAGTGTTGGAGCCTTCTCGGTTGCTGACCCCTTATGGCCTCAGATAAGGCAAACGACCACATTGTGCACCTAAAATTATAGACTGCGCAGAGAAATGAGTCACAGCGAGGAAGCCAGCAGCAAGTGGGAAGCCTTACATGCCCAAGAGCCGGTGGTGATGGCCAACGCTGAGAGAAGTCTTAGGGAGGAATATTTCAGTTATTCAGAAAAACAAAGGGAGAGTAGGAACCATGAAGCAACTACAGGGAAGAATGGAGAAAGGAAAAATGAATATAAATGTGATTGATAGTGGGTTATCAACTTAGCAGGATGCGGAATTATTTAAGAGCCTGTGAGAGACTGAGCTAGACCCTGGTTGTGCCTGTGAGAGCTATTCTGGATCACTTTAAGTGAGAAGGGTGGCACTCACTATGAAGAAGGGTGACACCATTCCCAGGCCTTGGGTCCCAACTGCGTGCAAGGCGGAAGCTGACACGAGCTTGCATCGCCCTCTCCATCCTGACTGTAGGAGCACTGCCATCCACTCCTGTCACCTGGGCTCCCGTGCTTTCTCTGATGGGCAGCACCCCTAAACTGTGAGCCAAGATAAGCCCGCCCTCTCTCCCTCCCTCCCTCCCTCCCTCTCTCCCTCCCTCCCTCCTTCCCTCCCTCCCTCCCTTCCTCCCTCTGTTCCTCCCTCCCTCTCTCCTTCCTTTCTTCCTTCCTAAGTTGCTTTTCCCAGATATTGTCGCAGCAACAGGAAAAGTAACTAAGACATTTGGCTCAAAAGTATAATTGCTATTGGAATAAAGATTCCATTAGCCGGCCGGGTGTTGGTGGCACATGCCTTTAATCCCAGCACTCGGGAGGCAGAGGCACGCAGATCTCTCTGAGTTCAAGACCAGGCTGGACCAATAGCCTCCAAAACAATACAGAGAAACCCTGTCTCATAAAAAAAAAAAAGATTCCATTAGCAGTTTGAAAAGTTGGCTGAACGCAACTAAATAAAAAAAAAATAAGGCAGAAAGCTGAGCAGGTGTCTAGCGTGAGGAAGAACTCAGCAGACACCGAGGGTAAAGTGAAGCAACGCATATGTGCTGAACTTTCCAGAAGAAAAAGAATGAGGCGAGGCAGAGGCTGTGTCCTCACAGACAGCGGCTGGGAATTCTATAGGCATGAAAAGCACAAATACTCAGATTGAAAGAGCACACTCAGTCCAGGAAACTCCACGTAACCATTGGACAGACGCTGAGTTCTCCATCCCAGGCTCTGCTTAGGTGCTTGTCGTGTCTACTCATGGGCCCGAGGAGGACGTTTGCTCAAGGAGCCTGCATCCTGTCAAGGGTGACACACAGTGAACAGTAAGCACAATAAGTTAGTAAATCCTCCAGGATTCTCAGACGTCGTAAGCAAAGGGACAACAGAGCAGGGAAAATGGAGCTCTAAGGAGATCTAGGGAGTGGGGCCGAGCGTGCGTAACACTACACAGAATGCTCAACTAAATGGATGACCTCAGCAAAGAGGTGAGATTTCTGTGAAGGCGACAACACACACCACAGGGTGTCAGAGTGCCAGAGATGAAAGCGAGACCTTCCGGATGACAAGGCTCCGGCTACAGAAGGAGCCGAGACCGGGCCAGCAGCAGATTCAACACTGCACTTAGACTTGCCGCCTGGGTCACACTGCGAAGCAGGTGCCATGCCCTGTGATTTACAGTATGTTATTACTGATCCTTCCAATAGCTCAGGAGAGCAGCTCTGCCCGCCCTGCCCTTACAGCTGAGGACACTGGAGGTGAGCGATTGCCGGGACCATTCGGCTGACAGGCTCCAGGCAGGAATGAAACGCTGATATTCCAGCCACCAAGAGCTGCTTCTGCCCCCTAACGGAGGTTCCTGAAATCTACTGCCACTCCCAGATGATGACTTTTAGCTACTTTTCTTGACCTTGGTGCGTCTGACACTGAAAATATCACCAAATGTTCTTTCTAAAGAACCGGGTAACAAATGGCTTGGGTCTTGCAGGCCATCTGGTCCCTGCTGTGGTGACTCAGCCTAAAAGAGTCGTTACGGTATCAAAGCACATGAGTGTGGGCGGGGAGCCAGTATAACAACATTTGTGGGGAGTGAGTTCTGAACCCCACATAATTCTCATGCGGTGTGCGCTAACCCTCTAAAACATGTAAAGCCAACCCAGCCAAATGGAGATGGGTGCACAAGTTGTGTTTCGCCCGCGTCTTCATTCCTTTGGCTCAAGGATGTGCTGGAAGACCAAATACTACTTGGTTTTTATTGAAGTAAAATACATGCTGTTCTTAAAAGCAACAACAGACAAACCCGCCGTCATCCGGGAGGCCGAGTAGAAGGAGGCAGATGATGGATTTGACCCTGGGGTCGTGCCTTCCTGATCTCTGCTATCAACCACCCTTGAGTCTTAGGTGATTTTTACCCCCCCCCAAGAAACTACGTGCTACAGAGGTGGCTGTTCCTATGCCTTGTTTTAACTGATTTGGAAAATGAGGCACAGAGAAATTAGGCAGTTGATGGAAGGTCACAAGAGTCAAATCTGAGAAGAATCCAAGAGGTAGAACCAGAGTTTAAATCCAGAGAGCTTGGATCAAGAAAAGTAGGCCAAGATATGCTGGGCTACTAAATCAAAATCCAGTCGCCTTCTTCCCAGAGGACCTTTGATGGGCGACTTCCAAAGAGATCATGGAGGGCTGAGGGCTGGGGGATTTGAGGAATTGACTCTAGCCAAACGTGACCTCACCCGTGTTTGGTAGCAGTCAGAGCGCGTGGCTCTACCCAGGTGGCAAAAAGGTTGGAAAACGGAGCACCCGTGTGTCCAGGGAGCTCTGTGAGGCCCAGCCAGCCTGGATGCAAGGCTCTGGTCTTAGCCTTGGACTACAGCTCACCGTTAGTGTGCTCCTCGATCCT